TATCTTATCAAAGTTGACTAAACATTAAAAGCGCACGTTGATTCTTCTTCCTTTCCGCCTCTTGTCCACCCAATTATTTTGAACAAGGATGTCGATGACTTTCCCGATCTTCACTGTACAAAGTAAGTCACTCAGTTATGTTAGGCTGTTTGCGATCTTGCTGAGTCCAGAATTCTGCAAATTAGCTGAAGCCCTTTTCTACTTATGTTGATTGTTACCTTCGTTTGTACTCTTGTTCATAGTCATCCCAATGGGCACACACGAGCAATTCAGTTTATCTATATTTTAATGTTGCCTGAGTAAGCCTATGAAGTGTCGTATTTTTGTTTCAGGAACGTGCGAATATTCCAGTCTAACTTATCTTCGCTTAATAGTCGCCATCTTGCCGTCTGCTTATTATGACTGGTAGATTAGTTTAAATAAGTTCATTTGACTAGCTTATCTTCCTAGGGGAATTCCATATCGCTTAACCTTAGGTTGCTTATGATTATACTCCTAACTACTTCGATATTATGTCAATAGTAATGATGAAACTAGTAATTAAGGCATATTCCAGCGTGGTACTCCTTTCTAAGTAAATTCCAATCCAATCACTCGCTTAAGCAGATAATATCTACATTAAATAAGAATATAATTCTGTCCTCTTTCACCTGCACTTTTATCGCAATCTGGTTTTGGAACATTACGGATAAATCCGCTCTTCGTTTTTCACATTATCACTCTTGACGTCGGTGGTGGTAGCTAGAATTGTCCATAAATTTGCTCATCTAAACTTGAGTCAAAATAGGTGAGAGGCTAGCCCAAGAGCAGTGAATGTAAATAGATGGTCCTCAACATCTGGTTGATCCATTATAGCCTTTTCCCTTTCCAAGATTTCCGCTAGTGCCGTAAGAGTCATCTAACTTGAGGTAGCCGCGTACATTGATTTACACAAAAAGCTTACCAGCAGTACCATCTATTCAAGTAATATACCCTAAACCCAATAAAGAGATGCACATTTCGGTTATATTGAGGCTAATAAGGGAATAAATTATGGCTGGAAGTGAGGGATAATAATTAATCACTACGACATAATACATGGACAAGAATAGGAAAGAGGGTAAATGCAACAAGGGTTAAACTGAAAATTGTTCAAGTCAACATGTGACTACTTTGATGCTCTCTATTAAAGGCGCCAGTTAATAGACCGACAAAAGTCTGCTGGTAGAAGTTAGCCATTCGATGATTCGAGGACAGATAATTGAGTTTTCCCACGGTAAACGTCACAATACAATTCAATTTAACTTAACCATACCCACAAAAAGCCTATCTCAGCCAGGCTGCATAAAAATTTTAACCTCGCTTCATCGTCTCAGCATCCCTAAACGGGATTTGATACCGAGTTGTAAGTATAGTGTCAACGCTACCATTTGCCATGAATGTCCCCTTAGCCTTGTCACCCCTTGGCCCCCATAGCTGTCTAGTTGAGAGGCAACGTTACCACACTACTCATGACTCGGTATTGAATCCCATTTTTGTGCTGATAAGACTCAGGCGAGGCCGGAACAGCAGATCAGTCCGGATGAGATAACATTTTGGGTGACAAGGCTAAGTAAAATTCATTAGCATTGCGAGGCCTGCTCGTCTCATTGTGGAAAACTCAACTATCAGTGACTAAATAATCGTAGGCGACTTAGGCTAAGTTATTGAATTGCTTCGACATCGTTTTCTCAAATTGGCCTTGCGTCCTCACATATTATTTATGATTTTCAACATCGAACCGTTGATTTAGTAGATTCCCAAACGTTTCGCACAGAGTTACAACTTATCAGTGACAATTACTCAGACTAAATAATACCAAAGTGATATCAAACTGAAGAATGACAGTGATAAGTTGTAACTCTGTCAAAAAGAGGCCAAGAAAACGTCTTGGAATAAATCAAGTCAATGGTTCGATGCTGAAAATCACGAATATTATGGCAGAGGACGCAGGACTAGGTACTTTCCACAAGGCCTCCCTGTCGCTCCCACCAAGTTGCGAAAAAGACGTCAAAACAACCTTATACAGCTAAAGTAGACTGCGACCAAACAAAAGGTCACATCATTTTGGTCTTCATATCTAAAATTCAGTTATTATTCAAGAATTACTCATAGTTTTTAAAATTATTTACACCTAAAAGAGCCAGTGTGTAATAATTGCTTAGAAGTCTTTGAAAGCATGATCAAGTTGCAAAATCAAGTTTAGGCCCAATTTTTAGCATGATGACTCAGTTGTCTAGACGAAGTTATGAAAATTGTTGTGGTGATAAAGGCCCAGCAAATAACCTCGTAATATGAGCAACATAAGTATTCCAAATCAGTAGTATCGCACCTTTTTGTAATTCGTCTTTTAATGTCATCGACTGCATACCATAAATGAGGAGTATACTTAGCCTAGGTAGCTTAAAGTGATCTACGAACTGATAGTAGAGTTTTTTATACAATTAAATAAGTAGACCAAACGATGCCTTATCATCCAACACACCTACTCATCCAGAGAGGATTGCAGTTCCGACCTCTTCCTGGCCTTATCAGCCCCACCATAAAACCAGTGGAGTCGCTGGGCAACAGGACGAATGCAAACTTCAAAGCAAGTCAGGTCTCCCGAAATTTCAATTTATAGTGGGAGTCTGAATGAGAAAAACGTGTATTTATCATTGAAGTTGACTACGTTACTGGTATTAACGTTGAATATATATCGAGACTCAGTAGATCTTAACTAGAAATGTTACTTACTTCATCTATCAACTCTTACATCATCTTACTCGAACTAGTCGAAGAGAACATTTTTAACTATGCTAACTAAAGGTCTGAGGACGTAGCCAAATAACGGTCCGATGCTGAAAGGGAATGCGCAAACAATGGCAGACAACACAGCACGGAATGTGTCTGCAGAAACCCCCCTACAAATACGAGGTGAATCCAACTCGATAGAGCGGAATGATACAGTAACCAAATCATCATGGTCTTCATATCTTCGATATGATACTTGCTTCCATTAGTCGATGGACCACTCAGCTAAGCTTTGACGACCGCCTCGGTCCCAAGGACTGAGTTATGTCAAAAACTATACAGTTTCATAGAAAGGATAGATTGTAAAAGTCGACAACAACTTACAAGAAGTGGGTTGACCTCGTTGTCGCAACTTGGTCTTGTTGTCAGGGGGAGTATGTAGAACACACCTAGTCCGAAGTCGTCTGTCATAGTAATTGTCATGATGCCCAGCATCAGACAGTGGACTTGATACATTCTCAAACGTTCTACAGAAAACGGTTACACTATCGCTCCTCTTTCTGTCCTGGCCTATTTATCTACTCTTTACACTGCCGCCCTGTCACAACTTCTCACTTGTTTACATTCCACTCGTCAAAATGTGTGCCCTTTTATGGCAAAACTGGTGTGGCCTCATCACACCTGCTATTCACCCCGACCCCACCCTTACGATCGGCTGATCCGACTCGGGCCTCCAATCCGGATCCCCTCATGGTCTCGTAGATCCGTTCTTCAACTTACTGGTTGACCGATTTCACTCGGTTCCAGTCCTAGTGTGCATTTCACTCAAGGCGCCCTAGAAGCACATCACTGCCGCTTCACTGAGCAGAACACATAAGCTCTAATTCCCATGATTTCAGATATCAGGCCTTCCCTTCACGGGTCGTCTCCTTGATTTAACCCATGTTATCTAAGTAAACTGTGGACGCCTATCTCTAGTCGCATGCGGCATCTCAAGTGGATTTCTAGTACATTTTGGCCATAACGCCGAATTTACGTGGCGTCTGCCCAACTCCCTGACTGTCAGGCCCCCAAAGTTGTACTGGTTTATTCGAAATTGACATTGCGCACTGACAACGTTTTCGCTTTATTGCTGAAAACCCCTCCTCCCCAATTTCGTCATCACGATCCCTTTTCTTCTGGTTAGCGACAGATCCTTGATCCAGGCGTCTTCTTTTTGCTGGTCTGGCTCTATTGTTTTCCCCGAGTTTGCTTAGACAGTTGTCTCTTTGACGAATTCGTAGCTTGGTACGGAGAATGGCAGAACTCACTGATGATGTCAGCGAAACGTTTGTGAATATACCAAGTCCACTGTCAGATGCTGGGAATTATGACAACTACTATGACAGACGACTTCGGACTAGATTCGTTCTAACC